ATTCGTACCCGCTATACGATTTTTTTTTTTTAGTTTTCAAAAGCTTCTTGTCGGTAGTTCTAAGAGCACGACTAGGTAAACATATTGAATAAGATGTTCAATATATTTTCGGTTAGATAGTTTAAGGCCTTGAAAGTTAATAAAAGATTTTGTATTGAAAACTGTGATAACGTGGCAAGCATAAAGAGACTGTAGGGCTGGAGTTATATATGCAGAACGCTGTATTTCTAACTCTTAGGAACATAACAGTAACTGTTGTTTATGCTGTAGAGTCATTTATCTTGTAAAGTTTAAGAATACCCACATTGCATGCAATTACCTTGATTGTAAAACAATGCAGCAGAAAAGATATAATGGTTGACATAATTCTGCTCATATCGTCATAGTTGTTAATATTGTTGTGGTTTTAATTACTGGAAATGAAATGATTGTTGTTGTTTTGTTTTTTCGTTTTTCGCAAACATTTTTTCTTTTCCTTGGCAACAAATTTGAGTTTTTGAAAACAAATATTGTTAGTTGCTAATCTAAGTTCTTAATTTTTCGAATATTCATGAACATTGCCCTTTGTGTGTCACAAAATTGAAAACTCATTTATTGAAAATTAGTTAGTATACGAAGATGTATAATAACAAGGTTACCTCAAAGTATGCACGAAGACAGTACAGCGACAGTATAGACCAACACGTAGCAGAGGTCGATGCGACGGTGTACTGTCTGAGTGCATACTTTAAGGTATCCTCTTAATAAACTTATTACTATACATCTTTTGCATTCAAGGGATACATCATGGGAATGTTTAGAACAGAATCAGCGAAATTCTTTGTGCTTTGTTTTTATTATTAGAGGACGCTTACGCGCGTAATCATTCCATATTTGGAATTCGCATGTCCTAATATGGTAGGATGAAAATACCCCGTAAAATACCGCAAAATCACGGCACACTGTAACTGTAATGGTGTTACGGTGGCAGATGTATAATAATAAAGTAATCATCACTGAAACATTACAGTGTTATTCACTATACAGTCAGATAATTATTAACTACTGAATGTTGTGCAGGTTTTGTTCATTGTCCTATGCGAGAATGGCTGATATGAACTCAACTTGCATGTCATTTGCTGACATAGACACTGGTCTTCATTACAAAAGTTAATACCATACAATTTATCTTCTTTTGCAGATTTAAACACGTAGTAAAAATAAATATTAGCAATACATGTATGATATGTGTTTTCACTATCGCCAATATCTATTGCTGCTTTTTACATGTATTTTATAAGAATAGTCTTCACACGAGAACTTTTCTTGGATATACAGCCTGGCTAAGCTTTGTTTGAATGAGCCTTTATACATATATATTTTGAAAGAATTTAAGAATTTAATGCGTATTTTTAATAATTCTGCACATGATTATTAATGTGAGATTATTAGGAGTATACCTCAAAGTATGCACGAAAACAGTGCAGCAGGAGAATCGACCGACGCGCGATCCTGTTTCTCGTTTTACTAATTCACATGTTCCATTTCTACGTAATAGCCCTAAATGCGATTAGACTGTACCTTGAAAACTTTAATTCGTCTGCGGTACGCTGTGACACTCCTCTAGAAATATATAGTGTTCATAACTCTCCTTGTTTCGGTCTTTTGTTTTTGTAATGGCATAGTATGCTAGTAATTTCTGATATATTTGCTGTTCTTAAAGTTGTTATTGTAATTTGAATATTAAAATTTTATCGACAGAAAGGAGCCATGCTTCCCCCAATAGACTTGCGTAACAGAAACGGGCGACGCCAAATGGCATAGAAAATAAAAGTACATCATTTCCTTATGTCATAAAATTCAAACTATCACCAACCTATAGTGTGTTTATTAAACACTCACCATCGCGTAAAGCGCGGCAAAAATTATCTGTTTGAAGTAGTTTTACCCGGAATTTAGGTAGATAGACCTTATGCAACTCTAGTGACAGCCATTTACTTGAGGTCGAACGAGGACGAATTTACTTGGCTAAATGACGTCATTGTAGATGTTCTCTCGAACATTTGAACAGCTAAAAAACGTCGGGATTGGGTCGTTTGCTACTATTCATAGTTTGTTATTGACCTGTTTATATTCACTGATATTGTCTATTGTTTCTATGTCCTACATGCTAGGAAAACAATTTATTTGTACATTTATCTCTAACGACTGCGGGCAGTATACACATGCCTTTGAAGCAAACGACATGTTCGCTTCACGGGAGAATCCAACAAGCCCATCAGAAACACCTACCCTAGTGACGTCATAGTGTAATCGTTCGACCTGAAGAAAATGGCTGCCATCATAGTTACATGTGGTCTGGAGAAGTAAATCCCATGAAAAGCACATCAAACTAATCGTTGTTTTGCGATTTTTGCGAGAAAATATTATGCTTTTGACGACTTCTATTTGCGATACCGTTTGGCATCACACGTTACGCAAAAAACATGGCTTTTCTGTGTCGATGATGTCTTAATATCTAAAAACAACAAATCTTAGAACATCAAACGTGAAAGAAAGAAATTACTATAATACCGTGATAGACACTAGAGACTGACACAAGAGTAGCAATGGACCCGCAGTTATT